GGCAGTAACGCAATAACCTGCTTTATGGGTCCAGCGCTGACCGTGAAGATAGGAGCTGGGGGAATTTACATGAATCTCTCTTTAAAGAAGATCTGTTTTGTAGCAATTAACGTTTCTGCTCTTTTGTTCGCTCTGACTTCTTATTTCCTTCTGATTTATGGGGATCCGAAAGAGTCTCTTTGCCAAAAGCGCATGTATTATTTGAGTCTGTTCCACATCCTAAACCGAGATTTATATAAAACCGTGAAATACCACACATTACGACCTTTCACCACAGGAAGGGGAAAAAAATGACTTCATAACATCATTCTACACACACGCACGGTTTCCTACGATTCTCCAGGAGCCTCCACCATGCACAATCTAGTTTTTTTTTTTTTTTTTTAAGAAGTGGGTGGGGGTGGAGGGCGGTAAACAGTTCGCAAGCTATGATTTATTTTAAAGCTTTTTTTTTTTTCCTTGCAAGGCAAGAAGACAAACTGCCACTGGAAGCTTATTGTCATCCAAAGACTATTTCTGCCACTTGCCATTTGCAAGGTGGAAGAAGGGGGGGCGGCGGGAAGAGGCAGGATATGGACTCAACTTTCATCTATAAACAGGGGTCACTAAACAGGGGACATTTCATTATTGCCCTTAAATTCACAGGAACTAGCAAGTCAGCTTGCCACCCTGCAGGGTGGTCCTGGCTGGGCAGCTCCCAGGTCCCCGAGGTGGTGGGTGGAGGGGGAATCAAGAGGGCCAGGGCTCAGTGGCTGGAAAAGATGCCCGCCAGACTCTGCAGCTCTGGTGTGAAAATTGAGCTCCTGGGGCTAGAAGGGCCTTAGGCATCCCCGACCAGGAGGTCCTCACCAGGACCCAGAACTGGATGCCTGGAAGCACCAGCTGGAATCCCCAGAGGGCTTTACCTCTAAGACCTGCACTGGTCCCCAGCCTCCCTCCATCCTCTCTGCCTCTCCCCCTCCCTCCCTGTGGCCTTCCCATGTTTGGAAAAGACAGACCTTGCTTTTTCAGGTATCTGGGTGATGTGTAGCATTGAAGCGGCTGGACTGGTTTATATGGGGGAGGGGGTGGCAGTGTTCATTAATAAAAGTTAATGATGGGATTAAAACCAATACCAGCGAAGCTGACTGGAGAAGATCGCTTCTCAGCCAGCTATATTTAATTAACAGCAATTAATGCATTTTCTGTTAATATCCTCTAGGACTCTCCATGACTTGTCTGCCCTGAAAGCAGAGTGAAGATGGAGTGCGGGAACATTCATGAGCACTCGGGGTGTTTTGCTCTGATGACATGAAAGATTGCACATTTATTTAGGAAAAATGTTCATAAACAAGTGACAGGCAGCTCCGAGGGCTTAGGTGGAAACAATGGTGAAACTGACAAATGTTCTTTACTTTGGGGGAGGGGTAACTTTTTTTAAAGCAAGGAAATGCTTTGAGAGAAGAAGAAAAAAAAACCAGGAGGTTAAAAAAAGAAGAAGAAAAGAAAAATTATTTCAGACTCCAGGCAGCAGCAGACGCAGCAGCCCTTGCAAACACATCAGCCCTGCACTATTGAAGATTTGGACACGTAATGCTTCAGACCACTGATTTGCTATTTTCTTAATTCCCGCTCTTCTTTTTCCATATGAATCAAACAGTCTTTTGTCCTTCAGGGTTTGATTTGATCGCTACTGTTCACATTTCACTTTTGTATTTTCCTCTTCCTATACCATTACTCATTGAGTGCCCCGTGAAATTACAATCGTACATTTTCAACTCAGCAACCCATTTGCAGTGCAAAAATAGGGTCTAAATAATGGCTGAATTAGCCCTACTGGACAGTTTCAGATGTAACACTCTGTAATAATTATATTGCAGGCTGGATTAGGATGCTATTATCATAATCTGGCCGTTTACAATTATCTGTAATTTGCAAAGATGCGCCAGGTCTTGATTACAGCAGTTTTTTTTTTTTTTTTTTGTATCACGCTAACCATCACTAAACAGTGACAGTAATAACAGCTAATTTTGCTGGCAATATAAGAGGTGCTGGGGTGTGCAAACAATTTCACACCTGGATGTGCTCACTCAACCAAGAATATAGAGAAAGAGCTTCTGCCCTGAGACTCAGAAAAATATTCTCTGCCTCGGTTCAGTATAGATTCTAGACCCTGGTCATTGCCCGAGAGATATTCACTGGGGTAAGTTTTTATTTCTTGCCTACTTCAAGGCATAGTTCCGATTTCTCTGCTCACACTCTCCAAGCTATGTGTGTTGCTGTTGCAGTGTATGGGGGCTGCGACCTCGCCTCATAGATTTTTTCAATTCTGACCTTCTAGCCCCCTTTCGCCGCGAAAGGGTGCTTGTTCTGGTGAGTAAGCGATGTGGGTGCGAGCGGGGTCCTTGCGAGCGCATTTGTCTCTCTTGCTTTCTGTGCGGCGGCTGTGTTTGGGGGCTGTTAGTGACCAGAGACGGAGCAAAGGACCCGGTTTCTGTAAGGCGTCGGGGGAGCCGGCCAGGGATTCCAAGCTAAAATCTATTTGAACGTTGTTACTCACAGGTAATCCTAGGTGAATCCATAGAGGGCTGTGTGTGTGGCCCTGATTTCAGGTGCTGAGGCATCAAGTGATCGATCCACGGGGCTCCTTGACAATTGCGGGTCTGCGGACCTTGGCAAGAGGCAGGGGCAGGGGCAGGGGCAGTTCAAATCTCTCCACCTCGAAGCCCCCTCGACATCTCTCCTCCGCGTGGGGGGAGTCACTGGCCTCCGAAGCCTTTCGGGACTGCTCCTCGGGGCAAGCGCCTCCACCGGGTGGGGCTGCGATGGGCTGGGGGAGGGCGTGCGGATCTGGGGAGCGGGTGGCCCGAGGAGCGCCCGCGCCGCGACCCTGGCGCTCCAGGGGCATGATTGGCTGAGACGCGGCGCCGGGCCGCGGAACCCAGGAACCCGAGTGGCTCAGGGGCGCACCGAGGAAGCCGCGCCGTCTGTAGATGACGCTGTCTCCCGACCCCATGGGCGATGTAAGCAGCTAGAGGTGGGGCGCACGGAAGCCTGAGAGCGCTCTGGCTTCCTCACCGTGGTGCAGAAAGGCCTCTGTCGGCTGGCTGGGAGATCGGGACTGGTTGTGTCAAAAGATAATGAGATGCTTATTGGCGCCGCGGAGAAACCATGCCCTTCACCCCTACCCCCTGCAGCTGCTGTCCCCCCCACCCCTGTGAAACTCCGAACTCTGCAGCCACGGGAATGGCGAACGTGGGGAGGCGCAGTGGGCGCCACAGCGACTGGGCGCTGCCTCTGCCCACGCCCCTCCTACCAGCCCCTTCCTCGGCGACCGGCTTACTGTGGGGCCAGTCCTTCTTCGAGAGCGAGAATATTAACCCTTGCGGCCCAGAGCACCCAAAGGAAGCCCGGTCCAGGGAGAGTTTCAGGGGCACTGTTTGGCAGAATTCCTTACTCGATTACACTCGTGTTAAGAGATACAGGGATCGATACAGATGCGTCACGGCCACACCTCCGTAGGATACGTTAGCGTGCATTTGTGGGGTTTCAGAGGCCCCTGCACTCGCAGTGGTTTGGCGTGTATTTTGGTGAAAAAAAATTTTTAAAGAAAAATTAGTGTTGGTTTCGATGGATGGTAGCTTTTCTCTCTAACGTAATCTGAATAATTCAGCAAAGCCCCACTACCAGCTGTACTTCTACAGCCTCTTCCATTCTTTCCAGCATTATAATTTTGGTTAATTTTCAATTTTAGGTCCTACGTCTCTGCAATTTGTGTATGAATAACAGAATAATTTCCCTCTTTTGTTTCGCCTTTCCTGTTCCTGAATCTAAATAAAGATGGCTTTTTAGTATTAAAAGTGGAAGAAAATTACAGGTAATTATCTTTGACGGTAAAAACGCTGTAATCAGCGGGCTACATGAAAAATTACTCTAATTATGGCTGCATTTAAGAGAATGGAAAAAAACCTTCTTGTGGATAAAAACCTTAAATTGTCCCCAATGTCTGCTTCAAATTGGATGGCACTGCAGCTGGAGGCTTTGTTCAGAATTGATCCTGGGGAGCTGCGAACCCAAAGTTTCACAGTAGGAAGGGAGAAAAAAGAAAAGAAAACATTTTTCCTAATGTAACAATGCGAATGCTAGAAAATGACAAGACTGATCGGTTTTAAACCATTCTGAAGACTGACTGAGCGTGGAAGTTGCTCAACAAAAAAAGGAACGGGTATATTGGTAAGTAGTCTTTGCTTTGTGTCTAATTATAGTGACTGTCCTTTTGCACGACTGTATGTCGCTGTCATTATATGGAGCACTCCGAGTATCTCTATTGACTTCTGATAAATGGCTCAGTGGTTTCAAGGTTCATAATTTGAAGGATGCCCAGGTCTGTAGCCATTAATTCTCACAGTATGGGGCTTCCTGCTTGTATGACGAAAGGACTTTTCATTTTCATTATTTCTGTGCTTTCCACAAGATCGAAAGGATGTATTTCATCCAGGATAGTGCATTTCTCTACCTAGCTAGCTTGCAATGGGGTTAAAGCATTAAGTAGGCATAATTGTGCACTTTACTTTCTGGTTTTTTTTTCTCTTTTATTCTTTTCTCCTTTTATTTTAAAAATAATTGTTTCCAAAGACAAATACAGCTGGATTAATTTGGCTGGGAAAATGGAAAGAATGTTTAGTTTCAACACTAGAGACTACTGGATGTCTAGAGCTTAACCTCAGGATAGGTCATTCTGGTGTTGTAAGAGAGAGAGAGAGAGGGAGAGAGGGAGAGAGAAGCTATATAGAGATGACAATAAAGACCTAAAACATAGAGGCAGCTGGGAAAACAACCACAGTTGATATTAAAGTACATAAGACAAGGGCTAGTGGTGCAAACCGCCATCCTCGCAGGCACTTGATGTTTATATATGGGGCTTCCCATATTAGGAAACAGGAATTCTTTGAAGAGTGATAGAAAATATAACGGGAGGGCAGGAGAGGGATGGGGAGACAGAAACAGACCAGACACTCCCAGCATTTTGTGGCTTTTACTCCATATATGAAAGAAGACAAAAACATACAAAGTATATGTACAACTAAAATTCAACAATATATACAGAAATGTTTCTCAATATAAACGTCCCTATTAGCTTACTCAATGCCACCAGTTCAACTAGCAAAGGTGTCAGAGCAATCGGATGTTGACTTCGGTTGCTTCCTCTGTCTTTCCTGGTTCCAGCTCAGGGTTTGGGGATAGGGTGGGAAAAGTGGTTGTTCTTTTATTTTCTCTTTTGAAAATCAATCCTCATTCCTGGTTGTTGCATTTGGATAAAACATGCAGCGCTCCCTTGGTGGCAACCTTCTAACAGCCGGGTTTTTCTTTTTCCTTTAGAGAGGGGCTGTTATGTGAGGGTTTTTGTTTTTTCTTTTCTTTTTTCTTTCTTTTTCTCGCTTTCTTTTAAAAACCAGTCTGGGGTTGGTAAATAAAAACACAGGAGTCCAAAATGCTTCTCTTTCCCCATGTAATGTCTTAAGCTCATTAAACAAGTAAAAATGCTGCCATGTTTGTGCAGATTCTTGTGGTGGGGGGAAGTGTGTGTAAAAAAAAAAAAAAGTCACTTTGATGGATACCAAAGAGAAGTGGAGGCTCAGAGCCTGGATCCCAGGGGTAAGGGGAAATATCCTTACAGTGAGGGGCTTCAGGAGTGCTGGCATAGAGACCAGTTGCATGCTCGCTCGATCTCTCTCTCTCTCTCTCTCTCTCCTCCCCCCACCCCCCACCATGTATGTGTGTGTGTGTGTGTGTGTGATGCAAGATCAATTACTGAGGCTGCTCAGGGTTACAAGGTTGATGAGCAAAGGAAAGGAAAAAAGAAAGGAGGAAAGGTAAAGAGGAATGAAAAGAAAGTAAAGAAAGAGAGAGAGGGAGAGAGAGAGAGGGAGAGAGAGAGACAGCGCACACAAGCGCCCCGCTGGCTTCTCGCCACACCTACGAGTTCTCCCGAGCCTGCTCCTTTGGCTCCGTCTGGCAGAGGCTAGCAGGTCCCGGATCCTGCTTGCCAGGTGCAGACGCCTTCCTGGGGCGTTCCTCAGACAGCTCACATCATCTGTGGTCTCTGCATGGTGTCCTGGTGTGGAGAGGAGTACCAGTGCGAGTAGCCGGGCATGTAGCTGTTGGGGGGCATACTGACGCCCTTGGCCGAGGCCGAAACGTCCCACACCGGGGGCAGTGCCGGTGAGCGCGGTGACAGAGCCGCTGAGCCGGGGAGGGGGTCGCTCTCGTGAGGGTTGCTGCCTTGCTTCAGCAGTTTCTTAAACTTGGAGCGCTTGTTCTGAAACCAAATCTTCACCTGGAATGAATGCAGCAATGATTAGTCCCGATAAACATCCAACCGGTGCCTCCAGTGTCACTGGAGGCTTTCAAAGTAATATAAAAAAAAAAAAATCAGTGCAAAAGCTGAGCCAAGTCCCGCCTCCTTCCACCTCCGTCTAGCCTCTTCCACCCATCCCCACCTCCTAGCCTACTAGGTATCTTGTCTGGTTACCTAAAGTCACTGTAGTTCTTGAGTTGGATGCTAACCTGGTGTAAGTGAGAATAAAAGAAGAAAGAAAGTGAATGAGATAACAGAGTCTAAAAAGTCTAAAGAAGGGTCCTTTTTTTTTTTTTTAAGGAGTACTTTTTGGATCAAAACCATACAATTGAATGCACCTCTTCTGTAGTCTGTTTTGGTGTTTACCAAACTCAAAAGCTGGCATCTCCATACGTGTTCAGGGAGCAAATGGCTACAAACAGCTCACAGCCAATGCATTCATAACCAAATGCCTTGAATCTATTTCCATGTATACAGCTCTGCACAGAGCATCTTCCTCCAGATGTACATATATCCCCATAAGCCTGCAGGGATTAAGGATTGCACTTCCCTCATTCCCTGCTTTGTAGGTTGCTTAGACCAGCGTGGGCAGCAACCCTCACATGGTTGCTAGTGCAGTCACCGCAAGGCAGAGGAATCTGGGATGGCAGCACACACAGACCAGCCCTGCAGACCCACTTGGTGTGAAGAAGAGAACCTACAACGCAGCTTCCTTTTGCTTTAAAACTCCTTAGCCAGAGGTTCTGCTTTTCCCAGAGGAATACAAGTCACTGCGTACCTGGAATCCTTTCATATCAAACCCCAAATATTCTCAGGGACAACAGAGCAGAGAAAGCAGGCTACAATGAAAAGAGATATTCAGGGACCACAGAATTAGTCCCCGGCAACCGCCTCATAACACCTGAAGTCCCCTTGCTAAAGGAGGGTCTCCCGCCACTGCTGGGGCCTACCATGGCATGAAGCTAAATTAATCGACAAGAACAAAAAGTTCAGGTGCCAGCAGCCTGGCTTTGTAAGCGAGGTCCACCTAAAGCCCGTTCCTGGGAATCTGAAATGCCCTCCCCATCGTGTCCTTCCGGTTACTGGGACTGAGAGCCCTGGGAGCTGTATTTCACCGCGGCTGCACTGCTATGACCTGGAGAGCACCTCTCTTCCATCTTTACCTCTGCCATTTGCCTCCAGCATAATTTAACCCCCAGCCAAGGGCCAGCTGCTCAAAGACCCACCCTCCATCCTAACAGGAGCAGTTGGCCGGCGCTGACTTCCCTGTGCCCACCTGCCTCCCCCACCCCTTATTCCACTTCACAATTTTTCTTCCTATGCCAATGAGCTGAAATCCTTCTGAGTTCCTAGGGCCTACAAAAGAATCCTTAAGAGAGGTGGGCCTGGTTTTGCCCGCCGGTCTGCACATCTTTTCCTCCCACTCGTTTGTTCTCTTTCGTGGTGTTCTGCTCTGGAATAGCACTCAATGGAACTAAGTCTGGTCGCCAAAGGACGCTAGGCTGGGGCTGGGTCGCCGAGGGCTGTGGGGGGATGTGCAACTCCAATGTAGCATTCAACACCAGGTCATTTATTCCGTGCGTGTTGTCCCGGGGAAAGTGGCAACTGGAGCAAAGGCATTTGTCACTACGCTGGTTTGGCCAGGCCAAGAATTGCTCCGGGTGCGCTCCCTGCCGGATCTGCAAATGGGCCCGCATTTCCAGGCCACGCGGGCTTCCTGGGAATTACCTGCGTCTGGGTCAGTCCTAAGGAAGCTGCCAGTTCGGCTCTCTCGGGCAGGGCCAGGTACTGAGTCTGCTGAAAGCGATGGTTTAAAGCCTGGAGCTGCAGGCTGGAATAAATGGTCCGAGGTTTCCGAATCTTTTTCCCTTTTCCATTGAACCTGATTTCCCCGTTTTCGATCACTGTCGTTTTTTGTTGATCTGCAAGCAAATGACACAGGAGCGGTCACTCGTGAGGCCACTGCCGCCGCTTCCGCTTGCTTGGGCCTGGCCTGTGCTGGGTCCCCCCACCCCACCCCCAAATCCCAAAAGGGTTTCCTCCAGGCGTCCCCAGGCCGCCCTGACCTCTCCGCGTCCGCGGTGCCCATGTGCTGCGGGAGGCTGCGTCAGCTTCTCCCCGCCCCGGGCCCTGGCCCTCACAGTGGGCAGCCGGCTGCTGCACCGTGGGAGCGCCCAAGCCCTCCGGCGGTCAGCCCTGCTCCGCGGCGGCCGAGGCGGCGCCAGGAGGCCCGGGGCTCTTCGAAGGGCCTGGCTCCTTAGCTCCCGAGGCTGAGCTGGAGTCCCTGGGGCTGCTTACCCGTCCCGTTGGGTTGATAGCACCAGCTCCAAGCTCAGTGCATCAAGCCCCCTCGGCGCGTCTGAAAACGATTCTGCCGAGAGGGACCAGTCCCGCAAAGCAAACACGAGCAGCCGCTCAGGCCAGCTCCCCCTCTCCCCTAAGGCTGAACCGGTCGCAGCAACCTCGTCCCCTTGGGCGCTGAGAACCAGTGGCCGAGGCCCTCGGCTTCGACTCCACGAACAAAGAGCGGCCACCCCGGTATGGAAAACCCGGAGAGGGAGGGGGCTCGGCCTGGGGTGCAAGCGGGGGTTACCCCAAAGTCCCCAGGAAAGAACCCAATTGTCACTAGTTGAACCGGAGCCACAGGCCGCGCTAGCTTGCCTGCAAGCCACCGAGGCGCCCCGGGCAAAGTAGGCCACCGCCTGCCCAGCGTGCTCGGTGCAGCAAAACCCGCTCCTCGGTTCCGGCCCAGGGACGTCCCCAGCCGTGGCACTCGCTCTGCGGCGCCTTAGGGCCCGCAGCGCAGCGAAGGAGCGGGCAAAGGGCGCGCGGCAAGAGCGCGCTGCGGCCCGACGGGTGAAGCCGGCGCCGAGCGGGGCGCGCAGCCCCGGCGGCTCGCTGGAGGCGGGGGAGCCGCGCGGGCCGCGCCGCCAGGAGGCCCGGGGGTCCGCGGCGGCGGCGGCGGCGGCCAAGGGGCCCGGCCGGGAGAGGCCGGCAGCCAGGCGCCAGGCGAGCGGGCGCGCACGGGGGCCCGGCCGGGGGCGCGCCGCGGCCGCCGCGGGGAGGGGGCCGACCGCGGCGCGGGCGCCGGGGCGGTGAGCGGGGCGGGCGGGAGAAGCGGGCAGCCGCCGCGGCCTCTCACCTGTGTCGTCCCCTCGCGTCTGGGCGGCCGCGCTGCTGTTGTGGTAGGGCTGGAGGTAAGGGCTGTGCTGCGAGTGGCTCATGTAGGGGTAGGCGGCGAGCGAGCGGTGGTTGTAGGAGTTGCCTCCGCCCGCCGCGTAGGGCGAGCCGTGGTGGTGGTGCTGGTGGTGGTGGTGGTGCGAGCCGGCCGCCGCCGCCGCCGCCGCCGAGTGCAGGCAGTGCAGCGGGTAGTGCGCGCCTGCCATGGCCGGGGAGGTCTGCTGCGGGTGCGGCGGCGGCGGCGGCGGCGGCTGCTGCGGCGGCGGCGGCGGCGGCTGCTGCTGGGGCTGCTGCTGCTGCTGCTGCTGTTGCTGCTGCTGCTGCTGCCCGAACTCCATGAAGGCGGATTTGGACGAGTCCTGGCTTTCCAAGCCGTCAGCCATCGTAGTCATGGTCATCATCAAAACTTTGGGGGCTGGTGAAAGCCTTCTCCCGGGTTTCCTCCACCCTCCCCCACTTGGCTTGCGCCGCGGTCCCCTCTGCAGCCACCTTAGCTCTTGGGATCCTTGCAAAAAAAATAATAATAAAATAAAAAATAAAAAAACAACAACAAAAAAGAGGGGGCGGAGGTGGTTCTCCCTCTCCCTCGCTCTTCTCTAATATATATATTTTTAATATAAAGAGATACGGTGAGCGGGGCCTTGTTAACTCCAAGGGAGGAGGAAGGGGGAGGGATGGGAGAGGAGAGGGGGGAGGGGGAACCTGCTCTCCCCCCCCTCGCTTTCCCCCCTTGGATTTTTTGGGGGCTGGTGCAGTTTAAGGCAGAGATTTTAAGGTGGATTCTGCGAAAGTTGCGCGTCTGCTTTCAGACTTGATGCAGACGCCACGAGTCGAATGGTTTGTCTCCAAAGGGCAGCGCCTCGCCATTGGTCAGTCGCCCCCTGACGTCACAGGCGCACGGCTTCCACTGGCGCGCGCGCCTCGGGGCGAGTTCTTCGCCTGCCCGCGGCGGCTCCAATCCCAGCGCCGAGCCGCGGCGCCCGGGGCGGCCGGGGAGGGAGGGAGGCGTCGAGCCGCGGCTCGCGCCCCGGGCCCCCCGGCTCCCGGCGTCGCAGCCCCCGGGCCGCCCGGCCAGGCCCCGTGCGCCCTCGCAGGCTGCCTGCTCGCAGATGCGGGGCCCCCTCCCCTGACCTCCTCCCCCACCCCGCTCGCGCCGCACGCCCCGGGGAGCGCCCTGTCACCGTGGATTTTCCTAGGCACACTTTATTGAAACCACAGAGGGAAGACGAACCCACACACCTGGGCTCCACCCCACGGCGGGAGGGGGGCGCGGGGTGGCACAGGACTGGAGCAAGCAGGCCCGGTGCTGGCGAGGGTCCTGCCCTTGCGGGCTGCGCCGGGCAGAAATGGGGGGCCTAACCGCCCCCCTCCAGGCAGAAGCCTCCTCTGAAAGCGAATCTTTGGAGGAGTGACAGTAATGCATTTTTTCCTATTGAAAACAGAAGCTACTGTAATGCTTTCAAATATATGCAAATGATACATGCGGTTAGTGGTTTGGCAAATCTTGATTACAATATAAACTACCCAAGTAAAAGTGCCTTCGTCCTAAATTTGTCTCTCGATTACAATTCCAATTGATTTTATTTTATTGTCAACATTGTTAATGATAAAAATAGAGTCGTTTTACAGTTATTTTTACTTTCTGGAAGGAGGCAATTAGAGCTCTAATCAGGAATACACAAAAATCTCCCATGATTAACTGCAGTACTTTGTTCAAATTGCTGCTATAAAATTCAGAACAATTTGCCTGTAATGATTATGGACTGGGTTTATTTTGGGAGGTGGAATAAAAGTGGATATAGCATAAATTATCCTCTAATTATACACCAGTGTCGCCTCAATTATCCTCTTATCAAAATGGTTGTCTAACTGCCGCATTTAGTTTCAATTCTCTCCTTTTTTTCTATAAAAAGAACTTCATACCTTGTTATTATTAATCCATTTATTATTTGCAAGGGGATTTATATCCGCACATCCAGGTGGTAGAACCACTTCTCTTTCAAAGATGGACTGGGGAAAGACATTAAGTTCGGAGCAGCCCAGGACTGCGGATCTAACCGCTCTCCCTCCGGGCTCCAGGCAGCCGAGCGGAGACGGCGGAGCCCCGGGACGCAGCCCAGGCCCGACCACCAGGTAGGAGCGCCGAGCCAGGGGCCGGGCGTGCAGGACGGCGGGCCGGGCCGGACTAGGCGCCCCGGCCCTGGGGCCGTGCAAGGCGCAGGGAGCCCGCGCTGTCGGGGGTGATGGGGACGAATCCAGACTGGGTGGGCAAAACCTGCAGACCCCTGCGGGCTCGGCGCCGGCTTTCGGTTTGCGCCGCGAGCCCTGGGGAGAGACGTGCAAGCTCACAACCCTGCGTCGCCGGGTCTGGAGGTTGCGAGCGAGTCCGTGTCTACCTTTGGGGAAGCTACCGGCGACTTTTTGGTCTTTGTTTTCTGGGGGGTTTTGTTTTGTTTTGTTTTTGCACTCGACTGCGCCTAGACCCGTCCGGCCCCTAAGGAGCCCAAGGGTAGAGAATTCCGCGGTGCTGCCGGCGCCCGAGACTCCGGGACCAGGTGGCTGCGGACAAACGCCCCGGCTCTGCGCGGTGCGCGAAGCTCGCCGGCACGGCTCGGGCAGGCTGCTCGCCCCGCTCCCAATCCGGGGTCTCCAGGCACGGCCCGGTCAGCTTGCCTTTTGCCTTTTCTTTCTTTCCTCTCTTTGCTTTACGGGGCGACCAGAAGCCCGCCGCCCGCGGGTTTTCTCCAGGATCGCCAGGACAGCGGCATTCGCTCCCCGCGTCCCCTCCTCAAGTCTGGAGACTTGGGAGCCGGTTCAGTAACTCTGAATTCATTTTTAAGTGGCCTGCCTTGTTCCCCTTCCTTTTCACAAGAGATGCACTTTAGCGCGCGGACCAGTAACCTGATCCACGCGTTTACAAATCGGCAGTGAAGGAAAACAACAACCAAAAACGCTGCTAGGAAAGTGCAAAGGTGGGCCGGGTGATGGGGCGTTTGTGGGGGCCCCTGAAGAAGAGGTCCGGAGGGGAGAAGCTCCCCCCGCCCCGGGGAAGCTCTTGGCACAGCCCGGCTGCGCCCCGAGCCTGTAAGACCCTCGAAGCTCGCAGGGAGACGTGGCAGTTCATTGCTTTATCCCCAGCACCTTGCTTTTAACACGGCTCCAGAGTTTCCCCCAGCGCTCCTCTGTTTCTCCCCTATTGCTCGCAGGTGCCTGGCTTTCTTTGCCTGCTTCCCACACTTCGGGCCGCACCCGGAGCAGGACCCCGCATGGCAGGTCCTCAAGTTGAGCACCACACCCAGGGACAGCGATTTCCATTAAGCAAAGATTTTTCTCTCTCTTCCTTTCTCTCTCTCCTCCCTCTCTCTCTTTATTGAACGTCTGAGATAGCTGGGTAGACTGCAATGGAGCAGGCTGAAGTTTCAAGGCTCATATGCCTCCCGCATTAGCTGGGGAGAGAGTCCCTGCACTGTTGCATTGGAGCTAGGTCATGCAGAGACCTGCTGGGAGACCCTGGGTGGGCTTGGGGAGTGCAGTGAACGAAGGGGCCTCGCACACTCTCAGTGTGCACTGGTGGGACACACTCCAAACGGCAGGCAGGAGCGCCCTACTTTCTCCTACGCTCAGGAATGGGGAGCTGAGGAACTGGTGTGGCCCCACAGAGGGTGTCAAGGTGGCGCCCCCGCCCTCCCGTAGCGGCCACGTGTGGCCCTAGCCACCAGCCACACCACGGGGGTTCAGAGTGCAGAGGCCAGCTGTGGCTGGGGTGCTCATTTCTACCCAGTTGAACCGGGCAGCTCGGCTTCCCAGGCCTTTGCCCTGTGTCAGAAGCTGCGGTAAAGGGGCCCAGCAGCTGGAGCCACCCATTGTCCAGTTTGTACCACCAAGCCCTTCTGCAAGAGGCCAACTCGGTTCTTCGGGGCCTTGCAAAAGAGGCACAGAGCTCAGGGCCTCCATTTCGTGGCGCTGGCTTCTACCTCTTTGTCTTGCCTGCTGGGGAGGCCCAGCCAACCTTTGTGGGTAGGAGAAGGAGAGCAGGCCAGGCGGGTGAAGGCTTTAGCATTCAAAATATAGAATGGGAAGGAGCGGAGCCCTAGGGCTCACTCTGGGGCTGTAGTGCTTGAGGGTCATACTCACTGAGAAGTTTGAGAGGGGCAGCATCTGAGGCCAAGGCTGCATTTTGCTGTTTAAGGTGGTGAGGGGTAGAGGGCTCCGTGCTGGGGCTGTGTTATGGAGAAGGAAATTCTTGCCTAATTCCAACACCAGACCTTGCTGGTCCACCTACCAGAGGCCCCAGTTGGAGAGATGGGCTTTTTGGGTTGGAGCCTGGGCAGCTCCAGCCCTGGACCGGTGTTTCCTGGCACCAGACTGCTGGGGGCCCTGGGTTGCCTTCTCTCGGGCTGCAGAAATACAGTCAAGCTTGGCAGGGCCTAGCTGGGTTCGGTTGCTAAGTTGAGCTCAGTTGTCACGTTAATTCTAAAGAAATTAGACCTGGATAAATAGCCTTTGAATTCAAAGAAATAACTGGGTGTTGAGTTACACAGCCATGCTAAGAAACCCCTTCTCAACAGGAGACATTGGTGTAAAAAAAATATATATATCTAGCTGGTCTTTTTCCTCATTCATTGTAAAATATGGTGCCCATATCCTAGAAACTCAGACACCCTTCTCTACACCTCCCTCCCCCACCTGCCAAAGCTCTGGGCCACAAGCAGACTTCGGCTTCTCCTTTCTTAGCCCTTGGCAGTGATGGTATCTTTGCCAGTAGTAGCTGAAAATAACAGGCCAGGAAGAAGATACTGAGATGTTGGTGTTATTTTCTCTAGTGCTAAAACTCCAATGTCCATATTAACACCCTCCCCTCCCAGGCTCCCCAGGTCCAGCTAACTAGTGGGTTCTGTTGATTCCACAGCCAGGAGGAGCCTTGCCGAAGTTTGGGGGCGTTTCCTGCATTTCTCCAGCCCTGGGTCCCCATAACAGGCAGTTAGGAATCTCTAACATGGCACTGGCCCACCAGGGGGCTTCGCAGACTTTTGAGATTGTCCAGTTTGGAGACTATTAACTAACAGGTCTCTGACTGAGGCCCCTGCTCCAGGCATTTTCAAAGCTGGAGCCCAGTAACCAGGGCCACAGACTCATTGAGTGCATTTCCATGTATTGTCATCACCCAGAACTTCCTTCCATAGACTGGGCCCAGGGGCACAGTGCACTCCCATCTTTTCTGCATACCTGTCTTCCCTCCCTCCCTCCCTCCCTCCCTCCCTCCTTCCTTCTTTCCCTCCTTCTTCACTCCCACTCAAGCACAGGACTCCCTAGTACATGCCTGGGGCAGGGCAAGGAGGGGTGAGCTCCACAGTTGAAACGCTTAGATTAAAACAAGATCAGTGCTGGTGTTTGTCTTTTAATTTGTAGGCTAAACCAAGACTGCCCTGCTAGGGGAAGGAGTGGGGGTTAGAATCAGCTGTCATCAAGCCTGGCTCTGGAAAGCAGGACCCCTTGACCACTGGAGGACAAATGTAGCCCCAGAGTAGCAGGGAACAAGCATCAACAGGAAGCGGCAGGCTATTTTTAGGCATAATAAGGAGTTAATATAGCTGCCCAGTGGTCTTCCTAAATGCCTGCAGCATCTTCTGTGTAAGTCGGTGGAAAAACAGCAAAGTCACAGCAAACGCCTCAGGTTACCAGAGCACCGGGCTTGGGACAGCTCCTCAGCAGCTCCGGGGATGGGAAACACCCTCTTGCTATCACAGGAGCTCTTAGATGGCTCCCTTGTTACAACCAAAAAATAAGGTAAAACCACTTTTTTCATTAGAGAGAGAGAGGT